TAATTTTAAAGTATCAGACACTCAGTATTATTTTGAATATTTTCTTCTTAACTCACAATAACATAACTTTTGGGTCCTATTTATACTTTCAGTTTCTCACACCAGAGAAACTATTCGGTATTTACACATGTGTGTCCTATTTATTTCACTTAGGAGTATCCTCTCAAATTGCATCCATTTACAGTGGACCCTTGATTTACAAACTCAATTATTTTCCAAGGGCTGGTTGCAACTCAAGTTGGTTAATTGAAGGCTTGGGCTCTTCTATGCAGTCTTCAAAGTGTCCCTCCAATATATAGGCAGATCTCAGCATCCTTAGAGAGACATTGGTCCAGGATTTCTCAACTGACCCCACACAGGAAAGGAGGTTATAATGGTTCTTCCAGAACTCTTTAAGGGTTAAATCTGTACCTGAGACCATCTGGAAGCACAAGAAACCAGCATTTAGGTCATAACTCAAGACTTTGGCCATAAGTTAAAACTGAAATTCCAGTTGTAACCCAAGTTGTTAGTATGTTAGGGCAGTCATAACTCGAAGGTATACTGTACCTAAAAATGCCTCAACTTTATCCTTCTTTATGGCAGAGTAGTACTCAGTTTATTAAAAAATCACATTTTCTTTATCCATTCATCAGATGATGAGCATTTGGGTTGTTTCCAAGATTTAGTTATTTTAAACTGTGCTGCTATAAACATGGATGTGCATATATCACTGTGATATGATGCTTTTAATTCTTTTGGGAAGATTCCCAAGAGGAGAATAGCTGGGTGAAATTGGACCTCTAATCCTTGCTTTTTGAGGAATCTCCATGTATATTAATCACAGCTATTTTAAGTATGTGTTCAACATAGCAGTTTTCTGGTAATAATACTAAACTTGGAAGACTAGAGGTCATTTTAATGCAAATAGGGATTAGGATGACTCAAAATTGGGCTTCATTCCCTCGAAGAAACAATGTATTTCGCTTCACACTTACTTTAAGGTATTAAGTGAAAACCTGGGTCTTTACTGGGTCCTCACTTGATGGGAAACAAAGTAGGACTTAGTCCCATTGGTCTGTGAGTTGGTGCGATGCTCTCCCCAGCTCATCAGTTTCTCAGTGACCTCGTTGAGTAAAAGCAGCGATCCCAGGACAGAGTTGCCCCAGGTTTTCTAATTAGAACTCTTGGATTCCCCTCCCTCCCTAATCTTGGTTTAATAATCTAAATTTTAATCACTCTGTGGAGAATTTGATAAAATATTTGTTTCATTTTTGTACTTTTTGTCATTGGGAAGAATGAAACATGCAGGTTTTCTCTAGCATGAGGTGTCTCAGAAATATTACAGCTTTAGACAATCTTTTGTTAGCATTTCAGTTAAAGGATTCCTAAAGCATAAAAGTAATATTATACACTTGAACATCAAAACCAAACATTGCAATCAGCTAAGGGTTCTGTCACTCAATTTGGATTGAAATCATAAGTAGACTAAGTACAGCTACTTTAGTGTGCAGAGCTCTGATATTTGAATGACCTGTATGAGAAGGCCCTCTTGGAGAGCATTGGTCCTTACAGTCCTCTTCCACTATCATAGCACAACCTAGTGGCTACAAATTATCAAGGAAGATGAATTTTTTATCTATGATTAGGGGGAGAGGAGTGTTTTTTAACCTGTGCCAAGGTGCAATTTATTCCCAATTTTGTATTTTAAAAAAGATATATTCGGTCGAGAGAATTAGTACCACCTCTAGTGCTCTGCTCACAAGGCTTTATACCATTTCACCATGTTGCATAGGAATTAAAGAAATGGTATGAACTCCAAAAATAACACTCAGTTTTTATTTTCTACATTATTGAAAGCTGGTTATTTCCTCTTCTAGCTTATTATCTTTATTAGTAAATTTTGCATTTTATCTAAGAGTAGTAGCAATGTGTGTTCTCTGTATTCCAAACAAAATATATTCCATCATTCTCAAGGGGTGTGGTCATATTTTGTTCATAACAGAATTTCTTTCCTTTCCTTTCTATAGACTACATGCTTCACATCCAGTCATTTTCTTTTGACTAGAATATTTTCTCCCATTAACTGTCTTATTTTTTGTTTCAGAATCAGGGTGGCAGTCAGGATGGAGTGTAGACTTGGTTGGTTTTAGAATCTGCATGGGGATTGGTGGGACAAATTCCTGAGTGTTTTGTGGGTCACAGAAGCAGGGCTGTGTCCATTCCCTCACCCTTCCTCTCTGTTCCCCTGAACTGCTTCCCTGCTGCAATGACATTCGCTTTGTTATTGTTAAAATATACAATGATAGTAGAAAGATTTTAAGCTTATCTATTTTGTATTCTACATGAATATTCTGTGATATCTTTTTTATTATGATAAACATGTTTGAAATTAACCTTAATCAATTTTTAAGTTGACTGAAAGGAGATAATGAAAAGTTTCCTGGCATTATTTTTTAAACAATACAGGATGGAATTGGGGGGTAGGGGTTTAATTGAGACAAGGTCTGACTGTGTAGTTCGGTCAGGCCTTGAACTCACAGAAATCCTCTTGCCTCAGCCTCCAGAGTCTGGGTATAACAGGCATGTGTCACCACACCCCACTGCATGGAATGCAATTTAAAAAGAGAGCAATGTATATCTTAAGATTTTTTAAGTCACTTTTTCATGTCATCTTCCCACCTCTGTAGGTACGTATTATAGCTATACATAATATAGCCACATATATGAATACATATATAGGGATTTATAAGCATATGTATGATAACCAATTATTACTTTAAAAAACTCAACTTTGCACTAAAATTAATCTTAAGGTTATCTTTCAGAGCAACCCTATTTTTATTCCATTTAGTAATGTTTTGGCTTCTAAAAGTAGCTTCCATAATGCCCTAAACATTTTCTTCTTTAGAAAAAACAAGCAATGTTCAGAATCATTGTGTGAAAAGCCACACCATGGCTGTGTGTCATGTATGATATTTTCTACCAGTGGTCTCTTGCTCATTGCCTGTTCCTTAAATAGTTGAGTCTACAAGTTGGTGCAGAACTCACATTTAAGCATAAAAGGTCCTTACCATTTACTATTCAGAAAATCTATTCATTTACCTGGTGCTCAATGTTACCTAATTTCTTTAATTCACTCTTGTTGTGCTCTTAGTTTATTTGTTACCTTATAAGATTATTCTGACATAAGGTGTTGTTTGAAGTTCATCTGATAACTGTCAGGCTCATAATTGTGTTTCAATTATACTTTTAATTATTTGGTGTCAATTTGGGATATTACTTACAAATGGATCACTAGTGATAACCTTATTAAAATGTATTTTTATTTATAGCAAGATATTACTTATTTATAGTTTTATTACATGGTTACATGAGTAGTTCCAATTATCAAGGAATGAATTCTAAGGCATGGTTGGAATATGATAGCAACCACACAAATTAAGTTGAGTATCTTCAGTGATATGAGACACTGCCAGTATGCTAGGAGTTAGTTCATGTAGTCCCAATGCAGCTGCGAGCCAGTTGTCCAACCTTAATGTATTCAGCATTAAAAATAACCTAATTTATTCAGGCATGCTATGAGTCCTTTTATGTTTTCTAAACTCTTGATTTTCTGCTTTTTCTTCCAGTCTAATCCACTTCATGTGAACATGCCAGTTTTCACTCACCTACTTCTTAGACAGTTTGATCCACCTTGAATGGTAGTTTTATGTTGATATTTATGTCATAAAAAGCAAAATAGTTATGAAAAATATGTCTTAAATGAATATTATTAAAATGTACAAAATATGACAGCTTTGTACACCCTTCATAGCTATTCAATTATTATTTGTCAAATATAAATGGATTCTCACAAGGTTTGAATTTTGTTCAATATCCATAGACTGCTTACAAACTCAAAAACAAAAATAAAACTGTGTTTTCTCTTGTGCTAATTTGAATGTCTTCTTTGGCAGACTTTTGTATTAGTAAATATTTAAAAAACAGAAATAAAGTATCATGTAAAGTTTTAAAGTTTTGTGCATTATTACTTTTCATAATATTGTGACATTTTGCTCAGAAATAATTCTAAACATGTTAAATTTGTAATTATCCTTATGATCTATTTTTCAATGAGATCCTCCATCTTTTGTCTTTTTGCAGTTAATTCTGAAAAAATTGATGTGAGAATCTAAGTCTAGTAATACCATATTATCATTCTTGTTGACATGTTAAAATTTGATATTTTGAAAATAAAGGAGGCACTTGCAGAACATTTCTTTGAAGATGCATTTGTTTTCAATTTATTGTATATCAGATAAATTTGTTTAGTATTGGATCTCAAAGTTAAGTAAATTTTCAATAAAGATTTAAATTAAATGGTATGGAATTTATATTGAGTAGCTGATTATATTCCATTAATTTTGAATCAACTTTTCATTATGAAAGTGTATAACAGATATTTATGTTTTCCTGTACAGAAGCATGATTTTATTTATTCCTGATAGTTGTACAAGGGGGAACACACAAAAGCAATGTTTCTGCTCTAATCAATAGATTCATAATATTAGAAGTATGTACTTCATATGTCCTTCTGATGCTGTTCCTTACTTCTGTAGAGAAAATAACCCACTCTCAGGTGGGAAAATTAGATAAATTTCAAATGAGATCAAACATTCCTTGTTTTAAGAAGGTACAGTTATTTTGTTTTCTAATGAATAAGTTACACAGAGTACATAAGTCAAAGACGACACAGATCAGTACATGTTCAAAACCAGAACATGCCTATGTAACAGGTAGCAAAGTCAAAATGTAGAAAATCACTACCTTGAAGTCTCCCTCGTGAATTTTGCAGTCACTTCGCACCTGTGCAGGTAAGTGCTCCACCAAAAACAATCATCAGTTTCAGTTTTGACACTGTATAACTATTTTATTCTCATACCAAGATCTAATGTGTTTTCCATTGGGAGCTGTGAGATTTTTAAACTATGTTAATACTGTTGCTGATAATCAAATGTTATGTATGTTTCATTGTATAGGTCCAAATTGGTATCCTTCTCGAATTGGGCTGCAGCTAGAATGTGGTAAGAATCGATTTTCAAAGAACCATATGTTGACTTTAAAATCCCTTTTCTACCATGAAAAACTGAGTTTTATCATTTATTGCATACTGATTTGTTCCTCCCAAAAAGCTAGTGCTTCACTTTTATAGCTGATAAATTTTGGTATCAAAGGGATGGCTTTCACAAATTTGCTGTCTCTGAGTATCACAGACAGCATCTAAACAAATACCTTTCTCCAAATCTTTAATTGCTGAGCCATTGTAATTCTTCTGGTCTTTCATATGTTGTAAGGGATAACACTTGTCTTTTTAACTGCTTTTACTGTCATATTCCTGTCATAAAACAGATTAAGTGAAAAGAGGAGGGACAAAAACTAATGAACTTGGAGAAATATCATATCAACTACTAAACCCTAGGTTCCTCCAAATTTCAAATCCTATTCTTTTAGAAAATGTATCAATAAATATCCTTAAAAATGAATCCCTTTTAAGAATCACCATTATTGACATTACATCAGCTTTACCTTAAATTTGGGATTTTTCATTTTAATGGAAACTCTGGATAAAATGCATTTTTTGTTCTTTCTTTCGTTTTTTTTCCCTTTTTTTTCAGGCTGACATTGACAATTAAGTCCTTAACAACAGCCAGTCTCTAGGAGACACATTAAAAAATGCAATCTCCAAATTTTCCATTAAATCATGAATGGAATTTTATTGTATTTGCTGATATTCAGGTTGTCTATTCTCATATATGGTTGCAACTTTAAAAAATGATTTTCCTAAATTTCTTGAAAATTCTGTTTGTTTTCATTGTTTTCTTAAGCATTTAATCATTCAGTGAGACCCATATACTGAAAACTGAAAGAGGAATCCATAACATTTAAAGAGGTCACTTTTTTTTGCTAATGAGGATTGAATCCAATGCCTTTGCACTGAGATATATCCCTAGACCTTCTTTGTGTCATCCTATCTATCTGTCTATCTATCTAGCTTTTTGAGGCATGGTCTTGTTAAGTTGCTAAGTTTTCCAGGTATGAACTGACAGTCTTCCTGCCTCAGCCACTCAGAGTGCTGGGATTACAGACTTAAGCCACAACACCTAGCTAGAAGTCACACATTTGATCATTTCGAAATCTTTCTTCCTCAGATATTCAAGTCAGTTTTCCACTTGAGGAAAATTTAAGTGAGCAAAATCATTGTCTTATTGTTTCCTCCATGCATGAAATTAAATAGTTGTGAGCTTTCTGAGATTATCACAGTACAAAGAAGTCTCATCCAGAATGCAGTTGGCGTCAATGTCAAATATGACTCCAATCTGAAAACACTGTAAGGGGCTGAAGAATTTGTTGCTTCAATTTTTCTATTGAATATGACACTTTACTTTTTCCTACATTTATTTACCTGTTCAAGTTACCTGAATGTGATCAGGGCAAGGAACAAGTGTTTTCTAGATCCTTGGATAAGAGTATGATGACGTATTTAGTAAAAGAGTTAATTTAATGAAGGAAGTAGAATATGGTACAAAGAAAAGTTTATTCAGGTAAACACAGAATTTTAAATTTGATTCTTCTATTTACCTACATACAGTCTTCATTTGTAAGGTAAAGCTAGTAAAGAATCTAAATTTTTTAAAATTTTAAATTAGATTATGGTGATAAAGTATATAATGATTGGCTTTTTTTCTCATTGTTGGTTCCAAATAATACATAAAGGTTCACTCACATTCTTCATACAACAGCTTTAACAAACCCTTAGGTTTAGGGGTATTCAGGGTACAGCCTGGTCCAATTTTGGAAAAAATACACAAAGAGAAGCTTGAGTTAATTTGGGTAAGCAGTTTGAGAACCTCAACTGCTTGAACCATGACCTAAAGAGAACCAGAAGCTCTAGTTACGTATTTCTCTTGGTTTCACATATTTCTCACCATTTAGAGAAGCACATATGCTTGAAAGGTTGTGGACAAGTGTCCTGATTCCTGATTCCCTATGAGTGATATGATTTGTAATACATCTGCATTTTGTCGTGTTTTTTTCTTTCAAATTGTCATATTGAGCAGGGACCACATTTTTAAAATAATGCTAGTTCTCTCTTCTTTGAAGTAAGCAAGGATGATAAAGGAGTGAAAAGTAATTCTCTCTCTAAAGGTGCCAATAAATGTGCGTTGGAAAGGTTTTTTTCAGTGACCAGTTATACAGAGCTAGCAAAATTTTCTGTCTTGGCTAACATTATCTTACATGTGATTATAATAGTATTATGGATTATATGGATATAATATTTACATTATTTTCTTGATCCATATTTCTGCTTCAGTGTAACAAATTTTCACAGATTTATAGCAATTCCATTTATTAGATTGAATTTGCATTATGGCTGAATTCACTGCTCACAATATGAGGAGACTGGAATTAAGGTGTTGGCTGAATTGAGCTCTGATTTGCAGACCCTTCACTTGCAGACCCTTTTATGTTTTTGGAATAACTTGCATTATTTAAAAGTTTGTATTTCTGTTTGTTTCCCTTTTGCAGTTGTTTGGCAAGGTCCTTTTGTCTTGCTAGATGTCAGTTCCGTTCTGTGAGGCCACCTACGGCCCTGAAACTTGGCCTTCTCTATCTTCAAGTGAACAGTGCAGAGGCACAGTTTTTTTAATGCAATCAGTCTCTGGATTTTTCTGTTTTTGGCCTTTACTCAGAGATTTTAGAAACTCATATGATCAGGTCAGGTCACCTAGATAATCCAGAATTGTAGGGATTGTACAGAGGGCAGGAATCTTGGTGTTCTTCATAACAAATCCACAACCACATTCATCTACTTGGCCAAACCCAGGGCTACATTCATATTTTCAAGGTAATATCAAATTATCTTTATAGGAAAATGTGTGTGCTTCATAAATATCAATGCATTTAAAAGAGAGAGTGTGAAAGGAAACTACGAAATGGTCTTCATTAAGGGGCTCCCTGCCCTGTGGCTAAGATCAGGAAGGGTGGGATCTGGGTCCCTTATTTGCCTTCCCAGCATGCACAGCAAATTTTTGGCCCTGCCCCCACTGACACAGGCTTTAGTCTAGGAGGGCTCCCGCTGTATACTGATCACATGTGCTGTGGCACAGGCCTTGTTAATAAGGACTTACTTTGGACATTCTGTTAAAAAAAATAAGTACCTACAGAACTGCATACCTTGTTATGCTCATATAAATTTTCTATTAAAAGTGGATTTATCACATTTTCATCTTTAGATCTAGTAGATCATATTTATACATATATGCTTATTTATTTTACTTTAAAATATCATCAATTATAAATATAGTTTCTTATATTCTGAAAATCATGGAATAGTAGACACAAATTAACATTTTCTTTTTCTTCAGAAATTAGAAAATATAATGACACCTTTACATGACAAGGAAAATAAGTCACAAATCAAGTACCATATTATTGTTAAATAATAACAATTTTACTGTACATGAAAATGAACTTTTGTACAGCAGAAATTATCATAAAAAACAAAATAAGTGAAAAAAAATAATGACAATAACAACACCTGTGAGATTAATTTGTTTGGGTACGTGTAATTCTATTCTATGTACTTATGTTTCTTTATGCATAGCACATGTTTGTTTCAAAAAACAAAATATATTTATCTGTTATTATCATTTCACCTTTTTGCAATATATTTGCTGTTGTAAATAATGCTCAAAGTAATTTTTGTTATGAATCTTCTGGTGTACCCAGTCCAGATATGTCCTCTGTTTGTCTTTACTAATAAGATGTTAAGTCTTCCAAAACATCAATTCCTGTCATCAGGCACCTACTAAGTGAGTGGCTCCTTCTCAGTCACCTTGCTCTATCTTCTCACTTGCTGACCATTGACCTGCTGTAGAAGTAGCTATTTTCCATTCTCTTCCTTCCAAACTGAATTCCTAAACAAGCAGTCAAGCCCCAGGGTCTTGAATGTTAATGGCTCTCAGATATCTACAGATGCATCTGCCCAGTGAGCTCCATGGCAGGCCTACCTTGAATCACTAATAGATATTACACACTTAACATACCCTAACAGAGCTCTAAATTTTCACTCCCAGACACTGCTCTTTTTTCTTTCTTCATGTCAGTTAATGAAATCATAATACATTTAAGCACTCAGACCAAAAATCCAGGAACTGTTTTATGTCCCTGCAGCCTCTCTGCTCAAACAACTTTTCAGCAAGTTGAAACCATATATGTTTAAAATATATCTGGGTTTGGTAAATTACAGGCATTTCCCCCAGTCACACTGTAATCTAAATGAACACCATCTCCTGCTTGATCACTTGTTCCCGGTTCTCTCCAGCAGTCTATTCTTTATCTTCTCCTTTCTCATAAGTACCCAGAGAAATCTGTTAGAAGATAACTCATGAAACTCCCCACGTGCTTTGGAGTCACCCCTGGAATTCATCTATCCTCAAATTATTTAAACTATAATAAAACTTCTTAGAGAGAGTTGAGATTTAGGTCTACTGACTTCTAAAATAATATTATTTAAACAATCTTGTTCCTTAATTGAGTTAGACCTAAAAAGTATTTTCTCATAATAATAGAATAGTCTGTATTTTGGTTAAATAGCATTAGGAAATTTTTCCCCATTTGGAAAACTGCTATTGATATTTTCTAAAATGGATTTGTTCACATTTTATGTTAATTTAAAGAGTCATTGTTCTCTGTAATTTCTATATACAATGAATTATTAGCATTAACTGTTTACATGTTAAGGAATTCCTTATCATTTTCCCTTGAAATTATACTTTAAGATATTTTATTTTTATTTTAGGTGGACCCTTTTTGAAGGACTGCATCACTATTCAGAGTGTTGCCGCTTCCTCCATTATTACGCTCTATTTTACAGACTTAGGTCGACAAGTCAGTTGGACCACAGTAAGTGGCGATTTGAAATGCAATGCACATGTTGAATATTTTGTTTTAAGTAATGTATTGACAGACTAGTTCCAGTAAATAAATTCACAATGAAACAAAATATTATTCTGAATTGTATTTTGAATTTATGTTTTTAATATGATCAGTGGCAAAAGTAACATTCAAGAATTACAACAATAAAAATCTATGGTTGGATAAAGGAAATAAAAATTTTTTAAAATGTGAATTTAGCTTATGACTGAGGCTCCTTTTCTTGTTCCTCTGTACCTTGTCAGTGGAATGATAATCTCTTCATCTTTTCCTTCTAAAAGTCTGGGCGTAGCAAGGGATCTCTATTGGATAGAGGAAGAAAAAGGATATTCAATAAGAAGAAATTTTTAAGGCAGAGGAAGGACATTTTGGAAATGTGAGAGTGGAGAAATGGACCTTCCTCCAGTATAAGGGGTGCATTTTTGCTCTTTGGGAAGACAATAGGAGCTCTCAATGATCAGAGCCAAATGAAAAGGCACTAGAAGAAGGACTATACTAAAGGATATAAATAGCTCAAAATCATGAAAATACTTGATACTGGTTCACTCTCTAGCAATGGAATAAACAATGGAAAAGCTTTAGCCATAAGAGGAAATAGGTCTTTTAGTAACAAAAGTGGTGAAAGAGTTAACCTGAAAAATATCTTGAGAGTGCTATACAAAGAATATAGCATCCTATTTTGTTTATGAAAATTTTTCAAGGAGGAAATTCTTTTTATAGCACTTTTTTAAAGTTGGTTTTTGTTTTCTGGACATACATTCCTACATCTGTTTGTTTATTTTATATTGATCAATTTTTCATACTTCTTTATTTAGAACATTATATTCACCTTTGATATTTATTTCTAGAGAAATCTAATAATAAGTTCTGGTTATTTTCTTTTATTAATTTTTGTTTATTTTATTTGTGAACAATTACCTATAATTTTGCCTACAATTTATAAAAACTTATATCATAAGGACATTAGATATAATCTTTATACTTCTCCAGAACTCATTGATAATCTTTTATAATACACACACACACACACACACACACACAAAATGCATTTCGGGCACTGAGACAGAATAGGAAGGAATGCCAAACTATCTGCAAAAGAAGAAACTGAAAAAGGGAGAACTCAGTGCATCAGAGAGGAAAAGTCTGTGTTATGAAATGTAAAGACAAAGAGGATGTCTTTTCATTGTCAACTATTCATAATACAGAAATGATAAAACTCGAAAGAAAAAACACTAAAAAAATTCCAATAGTGCTTATTGATTAAAATAATTCTATGGGTGATATTGACAGAGTTGACCAGAGTTCAGAATTTTTTATTATTTATTCAAAACAAGGGGGTTTAAAAAGCCATTAATAATTTAGTTTGCCTTTACATAAATTGATGAGATATTGTATTTCTTTTGCTCTCATAAATCTTTCTTTTCTTAAGATATATATTATTAAAAGACAGAATTAGAACTGAGGAAAATTGCTTATGTAAGTAGTTATTTGCGTTGTGTAAAACTACATTTATACTTTTATTATATATCTGTGCAAATATATAGAAATACACATATATGCTATACATTCAAATAATATAGCTGGTAGAAATTCTCACCTGACCTCTAAATGATTGCTTATCAGTGTGCACAGATACATATTTTATCACATTGTGAAGATTCAATTTTTTCCTGAGAAAATGCTGAAAATTAGTGAAGACAGAAGAAAGTATGTAATGACAGTCAAACTTATTTTTGTTACGTCTCTATTTTTTTCTCTTCTCTTTGGCTTTTTAGGATTAAATTAGTTTTCATTCTCTGACTAAATATTCCAGGGAGTCTTTAACCTGGGATCAAACAAAAATCAAAGCAGTTATCAGATTCCAAAAAACTATCAGAAAGCTAGTCAGCTAATTAAACTCTATTCAATCTGTTTCTAGTTTTGTTTTGTTTTCTTTTTGTTGTTGTTGTTGTTTTTTGTTATTGTCCCTGTAGGTCAAGCATCTCTCTGTACTCATATGATCCCTCCAGACTCTTGCATTCAGACATCGGTCCTCTTATCTACACAGCCAGACCCATTAGAGTTAAAGCATAAGGTTTCAGGAAAAGAAGGTTGAATTAATTCAATGGGAATGAGGGCAAAAGCAATGGAGTTAAAGATGGTAGAGTCATGGGAAGAAAATAAATGTAAAGAAAAAGGAAAACTAATAGAAAAGTGCATGCTTTAGCCCATTCCAGTCAGTGACAGGGAAATACAAATGAAAGAATAGTGGGCTAAGCAAACATGAAAAATATATTTAAAAGAGTTTGTTTCATCAAATAAAGTGTCCTTTATATTTATACTATTTATTTTAAAAGTTCCAAAATTCATTTTTAAATAAAAATTTTATATTATCTATTCTCATTAACACAGCTGTTTCTTCCAAGGATGATTTATTTGCATTAGCATCTATTTTCTTTCCTTAAAACAATCACTAATCACCTGATCATGTCCCCAATTCTTGCACTAAATAAATGCTGAAGAATACAAGTTATCCTTCAAAATATTCTATAAAAATTATTGTTTAATATAAAGAACTTTCTTATTTTCAGGTGTTTCTGGCTGAATACACAGGACCTCTGCTAATATATTTCCTTTTTTACTTGAGGATTTCATATATATACGACATAAAAGAAAGTGCTAGAAGATTACGCCATCCAGTGGTACAGTAAGTAACATATTAATACATATATCATAAAAATCAGACATGAAATGAATTTAATATGTCTAATGTATGGGATATCGGAGTTTAGCAACACAGTACACTACAGAGGATCCGATTTCAGCTGATTTTCAGAACTGTGCCTTTTTATTGCCTCTCAGATTTGGAAGAGTTTCATACTACATATTCATAGCCTAGGAAAAGACAGAAATTCAGAATTGGACATAAACCTGTAGTGACAGGGAGACATTCATATCATAGTAACATCAAAAACTATGCATCCAACCATTGTAAATCAGAGATCATTTGCAATAAGCAGGTTCTATATCAATAAAGGATGGTTATAAACCTTATTAAGTAGGCTCAAATACAGGAGCATTCAACTTAGGAACTATAAATAGCATATTCAACAATCTTGCAAATTTATAAACATGGGGCTCTTAGGTATACCTCCAATAGAGGTGATTTAAGTAATAATGACCATGGTAAAGAAAATAGATTGGGAAATTGAGAGATATCATCAAAAGAAGGCTAAATCTAAAAAGCCTGAAAACCATATATTGGGCTCAAGACATGAATACTTCCTTAAAAATTCCTGGCAAAGCCCAGTGTGACTGCACCTACCTGTAGTCCTAGCGCCCAGAATAGTAAGGCAAGGGCATTGCAAGTTCAAACCCAGCCTGGACAACTTACTGAGAGCCTGTCTCAAAAGAAATTATATCAAACAGGGGTGAGGATGTAGCTCAGTGTGATGGCCTTGGTTTCAATCCCCAGTGTCTCAAACAGACAAAAAAATATTGGCAATGTCCCAGTAGAAAAAATATTGACCTCCATAATAAGTAGAAGTGAAAAGTTTTATAGGCTACCTTAGTAAGTCAAAATCTAAAATCAAATAACACTTTGAAGTATGCCATAATTAAAAATAAGAATAGAACAGTAATCAAAGAAGGCTGTGCAACTGTGATTATTTAGTGTATTGTAAGAATAACATGTAAGCAACTGCCAAATTAAACAGAAAATATGATTATTTAAAATGTCACATTAGGCTGTTGGGATATAAATTTGTTGAAAGAAAACAGAAATTGATCAAATGCCATGTATTACAAAATACTTCAGGTTAATTAAGAAACAAAGTATAAATATTAAGGTCTTATGGATACTAGATAATGGAGAACTTCATTGATCAGGATTTTTTTCAGCTGAATCAAGTGCTCTCAAGCTCTTAATCATGGACTGAAGTCCACTGAAGCCTTTCTTACTCACACAGAGGCATCGAATCAGCCCATCCCCAGCCTAAACTTTCATTGCCTATTTTTCTTCTATTATTCAAACTTCAAATAGAAGAAGGTCAATATTTCTTATTCAGATAACCATTTCTACTCCTTCCAAAACAAAGACCTTGTTAATAGGAGTTTCCTCTAAGGAACTCATTACTTGAAAAGTGTATGTTCACAGAATCATATTCTGTATTTCCCTCATTCGGGTTCAAGTTTTATAATAGATGTATTTAGATGCCCAGTCTATTTTCACTGTTCAATACCTTCCCTGATTTACAGGAAATACCCAACATAATGTTTGAATGAGTAGAGACTAAGTACACACATATATTTTACCTTGGATATCCGGAAAGAGTGAAAGGAGAAATCTTAACCTAAATGATGTTCCAAGATGGCACTTCTAAGTGACATGAAAACTTTTCCTTTGTCCTCAAGGGTTGAATCAAATTTCAACTATTGAATTTGAGAAATTTTCATATGGAATTGACCTGTGGTACAGAGTAGTTTAGTAAATTATAGAAGGAAAAAGAAGGTTTAGTGTTGCCAGGAAGAGAAGCAAGGAGATTGTGGCAATAAACAAACATCTACAGTATTAATTTCTTTCTTTTTCTTAAGTGAAAAGTTTTGTTTAATTCATTTAGAAATAGCCTGAAGTTTAGAGTTTGGAAGGAGGAGGTAATAGAACCCTTTTTATTTTTAGAGAAAGTATATAGCATGTACCAGACTTGGGGCACAGCCTGAAAAAGGAATTCTTTTTAGCAGCATCCTGACAGTGGTTATTATTCCTAACACAAACTTAGCATGCTTAGTAAAAAGTATCGGTGCAGATTTTTCCAAAAGAGCAAATATGTTATCTTTATATGAAATTATTTCAGACATATATACACAAACTACCTTTGAAATTTAGCAAAGATTTATAGAAATAATTTCAAGGCTTCTAAGGACCTCCAATTTCAGGATATCGTCATTCAAGTTAAAGATCAGGCTTCAAATGCTAAAACCTATTGCCACAAATGTTAAGATTACAAAGTTATTCTTACTCATATCACAATCAAAATAGTAGATAGATAGATAGATAGATAGATAGATAGATAGAGTTTTTTTTGAGATGGGTTTTGCTTTGTAGTGCAGGCTGGCCTTGAACTGACTATAAAGCTGGCCTTGGACTCACTGTGATCCTCCCACTGCAGCTTCCCAAGTGCTGGGATTACAGGTGTGCTTCACCATGCCAAGCTCAAAAGTATGTTTTTTGGTAAAATCATACAAAAATCTGATTTCTATATTGGACTCTAGCACCACAGATTTCTTTGATTCTTTAAGGACTTATCTACCGCAGAACCTTAAGGTGCATAAAGTATTTTTGAATATCAATTTATTACGTAAACGTTTCCTTACTCTTCTTCAACTGAAACTTGGTGCACTACTTTCCTTACAGCTGTGTAACATTGAAGCTGTGCTTTATTTCAGAATCCTTTATGTGTTGAACCTTAATCAATAAAAGATACGAAAATTTCAAATATTGTGATTGGAAAAAATAATTGAACCAAGTCATACTTATGAATTTACAGTTAGTTTAGCACTGGGAAGAGAGAAATAAATGTATTTTATAGAAAGTCACACATAATTGAATGGAATAATAGTATTTTAGAATGAAATGAAACTTTGTGAGCAACTAGTGATGTGCCCTGTGGCATTCAGCCTGTCAGCTGTAAAGCTCAAGCTGCATGTGCTACGCTGATCTCTATGTCCTTGTGGGATAATATAAAACAAGCAATCTAATTTTGAGGTACTTTAGCTTGAAAGCATTTTTTTTTTGGTACCATGGATCGAACTCGGGTCCTTGTGCTTGCAAGGCAGGTGGCGGAACCACTGAGCTAAATCCCTGGCCCGAAAGCATAATTTCTTACTCAAACTTTGGTTATATTGCTAAGCTTAAACCTAAATTTACTATTTTCTTACAAAATGTTAATTTGTATTACTCAGGGGTTTTCACAATTACTTCCACAAAAAATCAAGAAGGTATGAGATATCAATTCCTTTACCAATCCATGGAATTTACAAGACAAATGTATATATCAGGACCTTTGCTTTTCTTGTCCTATTGCCTAGAATGCTAACCACACTCCCTGACACCCATATCACTTGTTATCTTTACCTTTTTAGAATATGTTAGTTGTAAATATACACATCATATAAAACATGTATCTCACGTAATATGAACATGCTTATATTTTTATGAAAGAAAAAATGATAGATTCATTGCTGATTTACCAGGTTAGTGTTTATTTATTTTTGTTTTTACAAAAGTCACTGCTACTAAAAATCATTAATTCATTTTTGATAAACTCTCAGTCTGATAAACTCAATATCCATTTTTACAGAGTAAATTACACACTGACTTTTATGCTCAACCTGTTAAAGTATGTCTTAGATCTTACTAATTATCTTAATATTGAAAAAGTTTTTTGAGATTTTCATCTTTTCCTTATAACAAAATAGCTTCAGATCTTAATGAAAACTATATCACTGTAAATCAGAATTGACATTTATTTTTGAGTCATTATGAAAAAATGGCAAGAAATGGTGGTAGATTAAAGCACAACGAAAACCATACCAAAATAAAAAAGTACAAGATGGAATAAAGGCAAAGCACAAACTAATAAAAATTAAATGCTGCATTATGAGTGCGTAGAAAATGAAACTCAGACTTTTACAATCTTAGTAATTGATAAAGGCCAACCAGGCAATTAAGAAGTTATTCTGTATATTATAAAATGTCAAATGCATTCTAAGTAGGTTTTAGATATTTTAAAACTTGTAAATTGTGTGCTTTAATCTTGAGGCATTTTGAAATGAACACATCTGGAGTTAGTGTATTTACACTTACTCCTGGGACGAGTGTGAGCATAACAGTTTATGATTGGTATTATAAATTATTTCTGTACCATCAGAAGTAAACTTACAGTCTCATAACAGATGACATTATTAAATAAATTTTTTAAATTTCTAGAGTAAAATATTAAGTAGTTGTGCTTCATTATCAGAATATACTCTAATACAATTTTTTATCCTAATAAGATATTTAAATATTTCATCCATTAGGCAAGCCAGCAGTTGGATGGAATTAAAATTTGACATTTTATTTTCTTTTTTTCCAGTTTGGCTTGCTTCTGTCATTGCATACACTACATCCGGTATATTTTGGAAACTTTACTTGTTCACAAAGTTTCTGCAGAACATACACCTTTGAAAAATTTAATAAAGGTGGGCATTAATGGATTTTATATTTTAAATTCTTATTGATAAATTTTATATATTAGATCATTTGCAAAACATTAAATTATGTTTTTACCCCTCTACACTAGATTTTTCTGTGTAAATGTGTCAGGATATATTGAACATTCCGCTTCTCAGATGCCGTTGTGTGGGTGAACTATTTCACTTGAGCTACCCTCTGCAGAAACTGCCTAGAAAGATTGGCTGTGACGTTATGGTAGAAGGTAGATACTTCATTTGGGGAGTACTTAGCAATTAGTTCAGACTCATTCTGTGCCACTTGAAAAGGATGAACCTCACATATGAATAACCCACAAATATACATCTGTGTGATTATAATGATATTATACTCCATATTTCTATGTCATCTGTCAGTGTGGTGTTGGTGTATTTTCTCTTCCAAAAAACAGTTTTCAGCATTAAAATGCCGATGAAAAATGAGAAATTAATTAAAAATGTACTTTAGATAGTATATTTTACTTCAATTTTTCAATTAAAGTTTAAAATAATGTTCAATTTAAAGTTTATTTTACAAAAATGTGTATCATTACAAAAATTATCTGGTTTTTTGGTAAATATCTATTTTTTTAAACTTTTCAACAAAGCAGCCATTCTATTGTTGTTTTGATAAAATAAACTCCAGAATGCTAGTACCTAAGAAATCATTTAGACCATTTTCTCTTTCAACAGAAAATGTTACAATTTTTAGATCTGAGTAAGATGAGAATGTTATTGCCTGATACTCTTAAATCTAAGTAATTTCCTTTTCTAATAAATCAAAATATGTTATTTCTAATGATTAAATATCTCATTGTTTAAGTCATTTACTGTTAGAATATATCATACAAATATCAATTAGTATTTTTATTACTTTCTTCATATTTCTACTTGATTGACAAAGCCATTCTTGAAATCTGAAATGTAAGAGTATATACAGCCTAGGTCACAAATATCCATTAATATTAATAGGAGTGGAGCATAGGAAAGTACTTCTCTACTCATCCCAAAAAGCTAATTTTAAAATGCTATCTTACTGGAGACAAAAGTATTTTATTTATCCAGCTTAGTCAATATACTATATTTCATTCAAAAAAGGTTGCAGTGTGTGATATCAATGTTTATGGTAGTGATGAATTATATCTTTCATAACTTTTATTTTGCTGTGTTTAATTTGTAGGGTTGTGCATTATATTGGGGATTCACTTCTTGGATTGCGTACTACGTTAATCATCCACGTTATACACCACCATGTATGTAAAATTTTCTCACAACTAAGCCCATACTAAATTACAACCTCAAAACTCTGCTTTAAATCACGTACAAAAATGAACAACATGGCGTTCTTAACGTAACAATTGATTAAAAAAAATCAGTATTAAACTACTTCTGTGTTATCCTTTACATTATTGTTATTATTATTATTTTATTCATTATTGGCTT